AAAAAAAAAAAAGAAAGAAAGAAAGAAAGAAAGAAAGAAAGAAAGCAAACGAGCCTTTCCTATCAAAACCCCAAATTTGAAATTTTCATTTTCCCGGCAGACATCCAAAATCCCTCGCAGAGCATCCATGGAAGACGACTCGTTCCAACATCTTCATCTCGGTGGGTTGAACTTTCATATCTCTGAGTATTTCTCTGTTCATCTCAATTTTCGACTTAATTTTTCGTAAACTCTCCCGAGATACGGTCACAAATTTTCTCAAATCAACCTCTTATTTTTGTTGATATACTATTTCAACAGAATCTGTGAGTTTCCCGGTGAAAGGAATGGAATCGGTCATAGCTACGGTGACTGGATATCAAGGCTCCGAGAGATTCAACCTCATAAAGCTGATTTCTCACGCCGGCGCCAGTTATGTTGGAAATATGAACCCTTCTGTTACGCATTTGGTGAGGCGTTTTAGATTCAGATTCGTTTTTTGATCTGTTGATTTGCGATGTGTGGTGTTGATGAACAATTTTAGTACATTTTCCCTCGATTTAGCAGTTTGACTGATTGCGTTGTTTAGGTGTGCCGGAAATTTGAAGGAAGGAAGTATGAGATTGCAAAGAAGTTGAACATGGTGATAGTTAACCATAGGTGGATTGAGGAATGTGTGAAGAAGGGAAGGCGTGTGTTGGAGAGACCTTACACCTTTCGGAGGTATGTGGAGTAGTGAAATCTTTTTTGTATGAATATTTCATTTTTCTTCTAATACGACAATAAATGATCTATGTAGTACAAAATGTTGGTTTTGATTGAATTGTGTGTCTTCTTTCACAAGTTATGATGAGGTTAGTCACTCTACAGGAGTGGTATTTCTGATGAGAAAATTTTAACTATGCATTGGTGTTTTTCTTTTTGTTTCACTTTCTTGATCAATTTTGTGAATACTAAGGATGTCATATGGAAAAAAAAGTCCATTGTAAGGCGCAAGCAGGAAGTAGGAACACCATGAGAATCTGCCAAACTAAGAGAAGTGTTCTTATTGTATCTTAACTTTGGAATGTATTCAATGTTTCTGATTTGGTTCGTACATTCGCCTTAGTACCATGTGTAAAGCTTCCTTCTAGGTGCTCCACTTATAAAGTTGTTTGGAAACTTCTAATGGTAGCCGGTCTTTTCTGCGGAAGGTGGAAAAAATTTGACGCCTTGCAGTTTCTCAATCTATTTTGTTGAATTTGGCCAAACAAAATCCAAGATCCTTTAGTTGCTGCTTGACTCAGAAATTTATGCTTAATTTGATTTAGCATAGAAAATTTCTTTGTTATAAGTATTTATGTGTTTTTTCCCTAAATTTGATTTCCTGTAGTGGGAAAGAAGTGGGACCTCTGCTATTGGAGCCCCCAGCTGGTATTAGTTTAGCTAAGTCCCAGTCTGAAGCATTGAAGAAATCTAAACAACCTGTGTTTGATATTGACTGTGAAGACACCAGTAATGCTGCTTGGGTGACTCCAATTCTTGCTGATGAGGTTGCCATCTGATTTTAATATGTTTTAAATAATTTTCATGTTCTTTTTTTATCAATTCTACTTGATATACATTTATAGTCCTTGTGATTTTAGTGTGTATTCAGTTTTGGGTGATATGCAACATTTTTTGTTTACTGTATCACAAACAAAATAGGGCTATACTACAAAGAGGCAAGAACCCAGTACAAGTCCCTCAGTAAATGTTGTTATCATTAGTGTGCTTATAATATTTCTTATGTTGTTGATCTTGATTAGTATTCATTTGATACTCCTTGAATAGCTCGAGGAAAGAGGCACTTCCAAGGCTGCAAATTCTTCTGGAGTAAAAAAACGGAGTTCCACTTCACTAAAATCTCAGGGCAAGCCTCGGAAGCTTGTTAAAAAGCATATCAGCAAAAAGGATGAATCGTTGACTTCAAGCATATTGGAAGACCTTGAGGAGAGAAAAGCACTAACCAGGAACATCAGCAGCGTAATTCTGTCTGATAGTTCAGACTCTGATATTCACCGACATTTACCTGATAAAAGCTGTTCTATTAGCAGGCAAGATGACACTGATGCCTTTGATGATGTTGAAGAGGTTCGGCATGCAAATGATGAAAATCAGAATACAAGTATCCCTAGTGCTCCATCTTCTCCACCTCAAACTTCAGAAAAAGATCCTGAAGCTGATTGTGTGGATTCTATTGATGTTGATGCCGGTAAAAGAATGGCCGCACCAAGTGAACTGTCATGTGTTATATGCTGGACGGAGTTCAGTGCCACCCGTGGGGTATTGTCATGTGGGCATCGATTTTGTTTCCATTGTATCCAGAACTGGGCAGATCACATGGTATGCAATTCTATCTGCATTTTTAATTTCCTGTTACATTTTCTATAGATTGTGTTTTATTGTTTTACTGTTGTTTATAATTTTAATATCGAACCTGCTGGCATGCGTTTTTATCCGGGAGATGTGCCAAAATACCACCCTTGTTGTTGTAAAAGTACCAGCTTTATCTTTCACAACCAAGACAACAACTGACTATGGCTGTTGTTATGACCAAAAATGTTATTATTGCAAAAGAGAAAGTGAAAAGGTGTACTTTGGCTAATTTTCCTTTTTTATCAAGAGATTTATTGTTTTCCTGCTAATTTTCTTAGTTTATTGCTTTCTCGAGTCTGCATTATAATTGTCACAAGAGAGTAAAACATTTATCACTCAAATTTAGCAACTTCAATTAACGTAACCGACCTGATTGAAAGTTTGTTCAAGATCTAGACATAACTATCAACTGTGTCTCCTACATGCGCCTGCTATATCTACTATCTAGTGCTCATATCAGTTTACAACATTTGCTGTGAGTATTGTTTGACTTAACTGTTACTATATTGAATGATACATCTTTTTACTAAGACTTTATGCTCCTCAGTCTTTGAGTGGAAAGCCTTCAACTTGTCCTCTCTGCAAAGCTAGCTTCACATGCATAATGAAGGATGATGTTTCATCGGATCAGAAAATCTATTCTCAATCCATTCCACAGGGCAGTACAGAAAATCTATATGTTCTTCCAGAGGAGGGATACATTCCTTACGGCCTTCCTAACAATGTAAGCAATAATAGTTTTTCGGTTTTGTCTTGCACTTAACGAGCCTTCTGCAAATGTTTCAGTATTTCTATTTAACAAGTGAACAAGAATGTGTTGGATTTAGTACTGCTTTAAATAACGTAAATATTTCCACACAACAATACTGAATTTGTTCTTTCTGCTAGCTTCTAAAAAGCTTCTAAACTTTTCGTTTTTTTTCATCCTTCGTTGTCGCTATTATAGGCATCAGCACAAGTGTGTAGTGTGTGTTCCAGTCGAGAACCGGAGGATCTTCTTGTTAAGTGCCATTCGTGTAGGATTCGGTGTGTTCACTGTTACTGCCTCGACCCACCATTGTTTCCGTGGACATGCGTTGCTTGCAAGGAACCGCGTATACTTCGCTTTATTCATGACCGTTAGCACAATCCTCTCTTGAGTTTGTAAAATAATCATAAGGTGGGAAATTTCTATTTCATGGGATAATTGGAGAATTTAAAAGTTCTCAATATTTTGTTATTGTGATTGTACTTGGACTTCACCACATCAGGTGGTCATTCTTAATTCTCTAAGGTTTAAACAATTTTGTATAAACGTTTACACTTGCGCTTGGCACAATGCTGTTAAGAAACCGAATGTGTTTGTGAACTTCGTATTTGGCAAGAGCTTGTTCACTTGTTAATCGAGTCGTATTCGAATAGAGAATTAGATTGTTTCAAAATGTTCGATAATGTTCTGGAACAATGATTTAATATAATTTATTTCAGTTTTATATTTGTATGTATTCCCTTACCCTTGTTGTGTAACAAGGGTTTATGTACACTGTAAATGTTTCTGATAAAACAAGATATATATAAAAATATCTCATTTTGTTTTTAATTATAGAGCTTCAACAAGTTCGAACAAGAAGATCCCAAATTAATCTAACAATTTTAAAAAGTTTGTTTGCTGAATTATTCAAGTATGAACGAGTTTTAACTTTGACGAACAATTAAATGGACGGACTCGAACATGATTTGTTGCTTGAAAAAAGAAATGAAAGAAGACGAGCAGTGTTTGAACTAATCAAACACGTGATCAAAATGCTCAAGCACGGTTCGTTTGGTTCGATTTTGATTACAACACTAGCTTAAAGCATGAAATTGGGTCAACTGGTTAGGTCTAACGAAGAAAGATATGACGAGGTACACAGAATTAAGACAAAATGTCATATACTAAAAACCAACTGTTGAGTTGGCACTCTCTTTTCACACATTCATTGTTTCATTATAAATATGTCATATACTAAAAACCAATGTAGCATAAGTACAACATTTAATGATATAGATATGCCTCGTCTTGTGAGTGAAAAGGAAAGAAAATCATAATCATTTTTCTTCTTCTTCTTTTTTTATTTTTATTTTATTTTATTTTTATTTTTTATTTTTTTTGTGTCCAGTCCATAAAGGGAGTACTGAAGAGTGAAGACTCATCAAATCAAGTGAAGCTTAACTGTAGCATCAACTTACAACAACAAGAACAAGAACAATGCCATCTGTAATTCCCGTTTATCATTCATTAATCTGTACAAAATCGGGAGCATCGTGTATAACTAAAAGAAACTATCAGCTTCCCCCAAATATAATCAACTTTAAAATGAAATCTTGATGAATACCAATACATGCAGAACTAAAATGTAGAGCACGAAAGCCGACCTGAGCAGCATCAACCTCTGCAAACTCTCGTTTCTAACAGCTGTATGAAGAGGAAGCTTGTAATGAGAATCAACAGAATAATCAGAATGTAAAGACGATGCACTTTTCCCGGTTCTAATTCTGGCCATATTCATATCCGAACTGCCGTTTTCAATTCTTCTCCATATCCCGTTTAACTTTTCCAGCTCCAGCTCCTTAACGCGGATTTCACTTATGAGACCTTCTGCTTGAGACTAATAATCACAAGGAAAGAAGAATGATAACCATGAAATATAATACTCTTGCAGCAATGAGTAGAGGGGAAAATATCAAAATAGTAACATTTACCTGCTTTGCTGCAAGTTGTTCGATTGAGCTATGAAGCTGTTTATCCAATGTTTTCTCCCGCTGGGCTGTTAATAAGCAAGTAAATTCATTAAGACACGATCACTGGATGCTAGAATCAAATTCTTGTTAAAAAAAAAAACACCATATGGTAAGAAAAAATCAGAAAAAGTACCTGGTGTCGGCTGTTTCATTGCATTATCTTGGACTTGTTGCCACCTTTTCTCCAAGTCTTGGACTGTCCTCTCGATCGAAGCCTACAGAATGTGGACGAATAACAATTTCAGCAGGTTAAACAAAATATGTGTAGGCATAAAAGCACGATAATTCTAGTGAACCCATTTATCCAGACCAGTTCCTTTTTCTTGTTTTCTAACTCCTCCATCAATGCAGATTTAGAAGCTTCCGCCTCCTGAGCTTCGACTGCTGACTTGGATTCATGAGGCGACTCGTTTGACTCTCCCGAAAGACTGGAATTCATGGAAGCTTCTGCTCTTTGCAGCTCAGCTTTCAGGCTTTCCTCAATCGAGTCCAATTCCTATAAGGCATGCTCGTAAGGTTCAGTTCTTACCATGTTTTAAAACCATGACGCACACAGATAAATTCTCAACATTGTCGTTTGAGCAGATACTTGGGACAAAAACAATGATCAACAAGAATCGAGACGATTATTGTAACAGCGAGTAAACATATGAGAATAGTGTGGGAGATCAAAATCGAACCTTTAGCTTACTTCGAAGCAAACCTGCTTCCTGCAGCTTCTCCTGAATTTTCGTTTCGCAATTTGATATAGCCTTTTGATACTCTGCATTTTCTTCCTGCAACCTAATTTCCCTCAACTGCGTCTGCAAAATGTCAAATTACGAGCAAAATGCACTTCAATTCAACAAAAGATTGCCCCTTTTTTCTCTCAATCATTGCCATAACCAAACCCAGATTGCTATTTCAGTATTATTCTTTATAAAATCTCTACAAATGCAAACAAAAATAAAGCATAGCTAATTTATCCCACACGTTATGTTGCTAAAACGCAGATCAGGCCCAAAGATAAGGAAATTCCCCCAAAATAATAACAAAAACAAAATACGAAAAGAAAGGGAAAAAAATACCTGTTGCTTGGTAGCTGAATGAGCGTTGAGTTGAAGGGCGAGAGCATTGTTGGAGGCGAGCGAGTGAGCGTGGAGGTCAGGGAGGCGCTGGGAGATGTCGGGCGGGGGCAATCTCAGCCGCAGATCTTGGATCGAACGGTTAAGAGAAGCCGATTTGCGATCGAGCTCTTGGGCGTAGGCGAGTTGCTCAGGAGTGAAGATGAGAGGGATTGAATCTGGATCGTTCTCGTCGTCGCTCCGCCCGCTGCCGCCGCCTCCGACGACGTCCGCCGCCCACGCTAGTAGACCGGCCATTTCAGAAGCACCGGCGTGGATTTACGGTTAGCTGGGTTTTCCCCCAAAAACTTCAATTTGTTTTCACTTTTCCGACAATAGTAACTTTTGGCTTTAATATTCTACCAAATATATATATATATATATATTTATAAAAAAAAGAACTAATTTTATATTTTAAATTTATAATGTCCTTTTAAAAAAAAATAATTGTTATTTTTATTTAAAATGACACTCGTTGCACGGAAGATTTGCTCATAAAGTTGTGTGTTTTTGTTATATATGTACCATATAAATGCAAATTAACTTTAATAAGTTTTAATAATTTCAAATGACATTATAAAAATTCATGACATAATTCCGAGCTTTGTACATAGTAATACTCGTAAAAAGCAGAGTAAAATAGAGTGTACTATCGACCTTCCATGAAGCTAATAAATAGTTTTTCTTACTATAGAAAAGAAAAGAAAAACTACTAAAAATATTAATCATTATTATATTGAAAATAATGAAACAACTAAAAAAAATAAAGGATTTTTTAGTGAGGATAATGGAATCTCTGTTGAACCGAATGGCCATTCAAGTTTCGAAATCCTTTGTCGAGCTCGATTTCTGGCTCGTTTATTTAACGAGCCAAGTTCGGCTCGACTCGTTAAGGGATCGAGCTCGAGCTCAAGCACCCCAAACTCAAGTTCGGCTCGACAAGACTCGTTTATTGACCTACATAAACAATATATGAAAAAGAAACCAAATGACAAATCAAAATAAAGGGAAAAGCTTTAAAATAAATTGATGTGGGAATTATTCTTTGTTGCTTGAAGCCTTGGACATCACATTCTTTGCCTTCAAGCAATTTTAGATACCTTGCACATTTTGCATTTCATGTGAACAGACTTAGCCAGTTCCATAGGCAATAAAAATTAACATGATTTAAACCCTAAGCAGACAATTCCTTCTTTCTTCAAATAGAACAATTAATCCTGCTGTCAAGTTACTACATTTGGAGCTTGGTTCCTAGAAATTACTTGCTTACTTAAAATATTACTTCCCTTTAGAATTAATATTTTACAAATTTTCAATCAAACGAAGTGGTTTTGGCGAGCTTCAGAACGTGGATGATAAAAAGATTATCGTATTGTAAGTTTCATCATCCTTCTCTTCTTTCGTTGTCGTTGATATTGGTATTATGAGCTCTTAAAAGTTTATGTTTCTTAGACATTTTTATTAAATCCAACGCAAATACTAAACAGTAGAGGAAGAAATTTTTTAATTTGTTCCTCTTAAAAATTCGATGAAATAAGAAATTTTTAAAATTTTCGCACAAATTTTTATAACTCTTCAATGAAGATATGAAAGAAGACAAGAGTTGTATTTTACTTAAGTTTTCGCACAAAACAAGCAAAACTTGTCTTAATTAGGCAAAACAAACTCATTTTAATAGTACTATTTTGATTTCTTTTTCAGTATTGAGTTTGAAGATATTGTTTACAATTGAGTTACTTGAGAATGCATTTCTTGATGATCTAGGAAAAAAAAATTTGCAATCACTTTCATCAAACACTTGAACTATTAAACACCCCTTCCCCTAAGATTTCAATAAAACAAAATCCAATTAAGAGATTAGTTCATATATTACACATAAAAACCCATTGATTATCAAATGGAAGGATGGAAGAAAAATATCTAAATACTTTTTAAATAAAAATACATAATTATATTAATAATTGTCATATTTTTATCTATATAAATTTTTTACAATATGTCACTTAACGATTGGACTTTTCTAACATCAACACGCAGAAGTAAACCAATTAGATTTCTTGTAAATGATTTAAAAGCATTCAACTCATAAATTTAATGGTTGAAATTAAGCTCAAACAATTAAAGCTAAACTACATCTTCATGTGTGAAGAGTATATTTGACTTTGACTCATCGTCTACCTTGCCGCGTTTGCAGGTACACTGTACACGCAATTTTCATAATTACACAGCTGCCCCCGAAACTCACCTCAATTGACAAATTTGCCCCTCGATCACCCTCATATTTATTTCTCTCTCGAGACTGGTTAGCTATGCTGAAAAAAATCAGACGACGGGTCAAAATCATCGTCACCAAGCCCTTCCGTCCAAAACCCCGAAAAACCCCTCCGGCGCCGCCGCCTCCCTCCTCCACCCCGCCGCCGCCTATCCCCGACGCCATGTCGCCGCCGCAGACCTGGCCCAACCCGTTCCTCTTCCCGCAGACCCATTCCGCAGTCCTCCCCGACCCGTCCCCGTTCTTCGCTCCCGATCTCCTCTCCGCCCCCCTTCCGACCAACTCCTTCTTCCAGAACCTCGTCCTCAAAAACGGCGACCAGCCGGAATACCTCCACCCTTACCTCGTCCGATCATCGGAGTCCAAGCTCACGATCTGCTACCCGTCCCTGTCCGAAAACACCTCCGCCTTCTTCTACCAGATCTTCGTCGCCGACATCATCGTCTCCACCGTGAAAAACCCCAATCCGTCCGCGACCCACATGATTTCCAAGTTCAACGACCTGAGCGTCACCCTCGATTTCCCGTCGACCGGCCTCAGATTCTACCTCGTCCGTGGAAGCCCCTTCGTGACCTGCAAAATCCGCCACAAGACCGCGCTCTCAATTTCGACCGTCCACGCGATTCTAGCCCTAATTCCCAACGGCAGCCGCACCAGGTACACAATCAAGCTGAACAATTCTCAGACATGGCTGCTATACGCCTCTTCCTCCATAGACTTATCAAGCTCCGACGTGAACACCATTATTTCTACCGATTTTTCCGGTTTGATTCGAATAGCTGCTCTGCCTAACGACGACCCAAAATCCGAATCCGTTCTCGATCGGTTCAGCTCCAGCTATCCTGTCAGCGGCGAAGCCCTTTTCGACAGACCTTTCAGCATTAGTTACAGATGGGACAAGAGAGGCTGGGGAGATCTGCTAATCCTTGCCCACCCTCTCCACCTCCGATTCCTCTCAGAAAACGACTCCTCCTCGATTTCCGTTCTCCATGATTTTAAGTACAACAGCGTTGATGGCGAGCTCGTGGGCATTGTAGGCGATTCTTGGGTCCTCAAAACCGAGCCCATTTCCATAACCTGGCATTCGATTAAGGGGATTAAAAATGAATGCTATTCGGAAATTACAGATGCTCTTGATAAGGATGTCGAGGCACTCAACTCCAGCTCAATATCCACCACATCATCCTATTTCTACGGGAAGTTGATAGCTCGGGCCGCCAGGCTGGCGCTAATAGCCGAAGAAATTTCTCATCCCATTGTGATCCCGGTTATTAAGAACTTCTTGAAGGAGACAATCGAGCCCTGGTTGGAGGGCACTTTCGGTAGTAACGGTTTTTTGTACGATTCGAAATGGGGTGGGATCGTGACCAAACAAGGGTCCTTTGATTCGGGTGCCGATTTTGGATTTGGGCTTTTCAACGACCACCATTACCACATAGGCTACTTCCTCTACGCGATTGCCGTGCTCGTCAAAATTGACCCTTCTTGGGGGAGAAAGTACAAGCCTCAAGCCTACTCGTTAGTGGCCGATTTCATGAACATGAAGAGAAAAGGGAATTCGGGTTATCCTCGGCTGAGATGTTTCGATTTGTACAAGCTGCATTCTTGGGCGGGCGGGCTTACCGAATTTGCAGACGGACGTAATCAAGAAAGTACAAGCGAAGCTGTGAATGCTTACTATTCGGCAGCTCTAATGGGGCTGGCTTATGGTGATACCCATCTCGTGTCAACTGGGTCGACTCTAACTGCTTTTGAAATCGAGGCTGCGAAAATGTGGTGGCACGTGAGGGAGGACAGTAGTAATAATTTGTATCCTAAGGAGTTTGTGAGGGAAAATTGTGTGGTGGGGGTGTTGTGGTCCAGCAAAAGGGACAGTGGGCTTTGGTTTGCGCCTCCCGAGTGGAGGGAATGTAGGCTCGGGATTCAGCTGCTGCCTCTTTTGCCAGTGAGTGAGGTGTTGTTTTCTGACGTTCGGTTTGTGAAGGAGCTCGTGGAGTGGGTTTTGCCGGCTTTGAATAGGGAAGGAGTTGGGGAAGGTTGGAAGGGTTTTGTATATGCGTTGAGAGGAGTTTATGATATTGAAGGGGCTCTCGAGAGTATTCGGAATTTGAAAGGGCACGATGATGGGAATTCTTGTTGGATGACTGTTTCTTGGTGATGATATGATATGGTTCTGTTCGTCTGTCTTGTGTGCGCGACTCGGGTTTGATGTTTTCCTGTTCGAGGGATGTTTCGGTTTTTCATGGTTTTCGTGTAGAGGTATAGTCAGCAGAACATTTTTATTTCTCCACAAGTGTGTTTGGTGTATTGAGATGAAATAAGTTGATTGCATTTTTGGCAAGTCTTTCTTTTCTTTGATGTGTAAAGTGTGATGTGGGGGTATGTTTGCTCTTTATTAGAAGTTTGAAAACATAGAAATACTTTTGTGGAATTTTAAATGAAGTTTATGAAAGGCTATGTATTTTGGGAAATATGGGAGCGTTTGGGAGCTTGAAAAGGAAAAGGCTGTCTATTGGGGATGCAGACGGTCCAGTCGAATATCCACCTCATTTAAAGTACTTTTATTTTGTAAACTTTATTTTGTACAAAATGGACGTGAACCTAATCACAACCTAATCAAATTTTTATTACATACATAGTCGTATTAATATTTCCAATCTTCTACAACTTAAATTCGAGTTTACTTATGAACGCATTGCAACTACTGAATTTCACACTTATGAACGCATTGCAACTACTGAATTTCACACAAAATAGACTTAAGACATCATCACGTTTACCGTTTGCATAAATGCAAATTTTTTTAATACTCAAAATAGTCCACAAATTCTTGAGTTTATTTACTTGTCACATAGGCAAGACTAGACCCAATGCATTGAATATGCTCTTAGAGCATCCACAATGCTTTGAGTCTCTTTTTGTATATGTGACATATAATTGGACTTGGGTCTTAAATGACATGGACAAACCCAAGTAAAAAAATTCAAAAACTTTGCAATGCAAAAATAAAAATACTAGGTCTACCATACATGCCAACCAATAAAATGCTCTAATACGTTTTATTCATTAAAAGAAAAATTAAATTAAGAACAAATGATGAATATTTGGGTTTGTACTTGGGTCAAAATGTCACTTAAAATAAAAAAGGAATACACCAAGTTCCTTTTAAATTCCAATAACCCTTTTCCCTATATAAAAGAACAAACGAGACAATTCTCTCTCAGAAAGAAATTAGGGTTTAGGTAGAGTCATTTCAGTAATTCCCAATATTATATATATCATCGACAAAAAATACCATTTATTACGTCATAATTCGAGAGATTTGCCATTTGGGAGTACAAAACGAGAATCTATCTGCAATAGGTGAATGAGAAAAAAAATATGGAGTAGAAAAGAAAACAGAAGTAAAGGAAAAAGATAGTTCAAGGATAGTGGACTTCAGATTCTTCCACAGAACTGAGACAGCGCTAAACTCAGATTTTTCCTTTTTTCTTTTTTTAATTTCTCTATAGATACACGAAGAAAGTATCGCCGATCGGAAAACCATGGGTAGCGGAGAAGGAGAGGATCTGCAGAAGGTGAAGCAGGCGGCCGCCGCCGCGTACGATTACGATTCCGACCCACGGTGGGCGGATTACTGGTCAAACGTACTCATCCCACCTCACATGGCCTCCCGCAACGACGTCGTCAACCACTTCAAGCACAAGTTCTATCAGCGCTACATCGTATGTTTATTTTTTCCTTATAGCTCTTCATTTTATCCGGATTTTAGCGACTTTGCGTTTTTCTGCTGTCTGTTATCTTAGATGTGTTGGTAATTGAACACAAATTACCGTATTGGGAGTGATAATATGGCGTGAGACCATCGAGAATATTGCCTTGTGTGGATGGGTTAGAATATCCCTAGGGAGTATTAATGTTCCCTACTGTTCCTCACTTTTCTGCGTGTGATTGTAGAAATATGATAATTCTTTGGTAATACTTTATCTATAGCCAAGTGTAGACAAGTCGTAGTTTCAATAAGGAATTTACTTACTGAGATGAGAATGGAATTAAGGATTTTGAGTGTGAATTGGATATGCTTTTGCTAAAAAAAATTTCATTTCATTAGAGGAATGTGTTACAAAACAAATTTAATGATTTTTTTTTTTAAAAGTGTGATTGGATGTAGGATGGTAAAACTATAGTTGATGCAATTCCAAAACGGAAATAATGGTGGGTAGTTAGAAATATGAGATTGATTGAGCAATAAATATTATAAAAATGTATATTAATGATTGGGTTTTGTTTTAAAATCTGCCTTGATAAAATTGAGGAGAGAAAAAGTGATATGAGTAGTATATGTATTTTATGGATAAAAAAAAATATCTTGGATATGAACAGTAGAAAATATTGATATCCAATACACCTTGTGCATCCAGGATGTGGTTGTTATGGGTTTGCAAAATATTTTATTTTGAATGGTGCAGTTATTAATGTGTCATTGTTATGAATTTTTCCTTGTTATTTATGTTTTGCTAATTTGTTCTGTTAATATATAGGACCCTGAACTAATTGTGGAGCCAATAGGCACTGGCGGCACATCTCAGCCAGCGAGAGCATCTACCCCGCCATCACAGTCTTCATCTGCTTCTAATAGCAATACGCGCCAGAGGACTTCCGGTCTGAATCTTGTTCAGTTCCTGATATTGCATTTCGAATTTTTCATTTCCTTTTGTTTTGCTTAGTATATAATGTAATTTTGACCAAAATTTACTTGATTGCAATTTGTAGGTTCCTCGACTAGAACCTCAGGACCATCAACAGCTCCCCCTCCCAGTGCGATGTCATTGCGCTGGGATCAACGGACCGTTCAATTTTCTGTCAATGCTTGGGTATGTCATACTCATTAAATGCTCAATTTCAATGTAGACTTGTTTTGGGCTATTGCAAGTATGGTGAGTTTTATTGCTGTTTATTGTGTTCCGCGGGTCAACGGCTTCTATGGAGACCGAAGAACTTTTGGCTTCTCTCTCTCTCTCTCTCTCTCTCTCTCTCTATTTCTCTCGAGTTTTATGGCCGTTATGTGAGTTGTGTGGGTCAACGGCTACTCATGCGCGAAACCACATACACACATTTTTTTTGGTATTTTGGTACATTTTTCAGTCCAATAAATTTCATCCTTGGCATACGTTTTCTTAAGTGCATGGAGCTTTTTGTGGAATATGCTCATTATCCTTCTGTTTTTTGTTTCTCTTAGAACTGTTAGCATGGTGAGCTTTTAGAAGGATATCTACAATGATTTCTTGTTTTGCTATGCATTAAGTGCTATCAAGATTTAGTTAATTAAAAACAGTAGCATGAGAAGACATGTGTATGTGGTGGACGTAAATTACTTATTGTTGGTCTTGGATGTTTTTCTTCTGCCGGTCTCATTATCGTGAAATTGTAGCTGCTACTGTTTACAAATCATTATTACAGCTCTCTCTCTCCCTGTCTCTCTCTCGTGGGGAAGAAATTTTACTTACACTGTTATTCTTGCAGGTAGTTATTGTGGCAGTTCTTGCAATGTTCCCACTTGTGCCTAAACACCTCTCGAATCGCGCATATAGACTTTCCTTCTTGGGGACTGCATGCTCTTCTCTTTATTCCTTGTATTCATTGTATGGGGTAATGCTCTAGTCAGTTTCATGATCTTATCCACTGGAATTTACCTACCTGCTCGCTGACATACTATTTTCACAGAAACCTCGAGCATGGAACTTGCCAGCTTTGCAAGTATGGTTTCAGTCGGTGGTAGTTACCAAAGATTTTATCTACTCAATATACTGCCTTTCTTTTGTCACATCGCATCTGTGCCTCAAATGTCAGTATCCCTGGAGTACTTGTGATTCTTAGTATTGCATCTTTTGTTTGTTTAATGGTGCTTTTCTCATCTAATAACAGTGCACATATTTTGATGTTTCGACAGTTGCTTTAATTCCCATACTTTGTCGCTCCTTGGAGCACGTTGCGAAGTTCTTGAGGCGCAATTTTAGCAGATCAACCTTGTACAGGTGAGTTAGCCTGAAACCTTCACGGGGCATGCTAGTCCGTTTTATGTTGTAGCTGCTCTCTCTCTCTCTCTATATATATATAAATATATATATATATATATATATATATATATATGAGTTTATTCGTGTGCTTTCTGCAGGAAGTACTTGGAAGAGGCTTGTGTTTGGGTAGAGTCGAACACGACTACTCTTAGCATTCTGTCCTCACATGCTGAAATTGGAATTGGGTTCCTTCTGATTATTTCTCTCTTCTCGTCAGTATCTCTGCTCGTATCCCTTTCTTAATAATTTTTATTTAAATACATTTTTACGTCACTACTTTCTTGCCTTGATTTTTGTTAATCTATACATTGCTAATATATAATTTTAATATGCAGGTGGCAACGCAATATTATGCAAACATTTATATACTGGCAGGTGTGCATCTCACTCTTTATTTGGAACTTAATCGTGAAAAATTTGTTGTATATGGTTATGATTTGTGGCTATGGAGATTTTTGCCAGTCAACTTAAGTGAAAATGTTGGTGGAGGTCACTTTGTTTCCCTGTTGTGATTGCTTTATTCTCCTTTTACTTTATGTGCTTCCTTTCATGGTGGAGTGAACTTTCACATCAGTGTGATCCTAGAGTCAAACTGTTTGGTAGTAAATATTTGGCACAGCCATAACATTTTGACTCAATTTCTTGATCACTTCAATATCTTGAGATTTTCCATAGTAGCTGTTGTTTATTTGTTTGTTCCTATATATGTAGATTTTGAAGCTCATGTACAATGCCCCTGCAACTGCTGGGTACCATCAAAGTACTTGGGCTAAGATCGGGCGGACTGTGAACCCATTAATCCAGCGCTATGCACCATTCTTGAATACTCCGATTTCTGCCTTGCAGAGGTGGTTTTTCAGGTGAAAAAGCTGACGAGGATAGACATTCAGAGAGAAAAAAGGAAAGCCGTTTAATTAATGGCTACAAATGTGCCAGCATTTCATTCCCAGACAATGTAACATTGATTCCTAAAATCACCAACCACAAATCTAGACATTATAAGCCAATGGTCTGGTTTATCACTCTTGGGAAATAATCAGTAAGAGCTTTAGGTGTTCTTAGAATAATCTCTTGTTCTTCGACTGTAGTCGAAAGTTATATTTTGCGTTTCATGTTTGAGGGATCCTTTTGAGCATGCAAGGACAATTTTCTGGTTTACTTGGGATACTGTTTACTACCACAGATTAACTTATTATTTGTTGGTTGCAATTTTATTTTGTCCTTATTTTGGTGGTCTGGAATTGGAAATCCAGAATGTGCGTGTAGTCAATGAAGTTGATTGGGATTAAGATAGCCAGCTACGAAATATGGAGACACCGAATAGTTATTTTTGGTCCAATTAAAAATGAGATTGATGAGTGATGACTTTGTTATCTACTTAACAGGTGTCAGGAATCGGATTCTCTTTTGGTGAGGCTTTATTATTATGTTTTCGTTATTATTATTCTTATTATTTGTGATTTATCGTGAATGAGCCGTGTGGGATTTCCCATATGCTACATTTGACAATTTCAACTTGCTTGTTCCTTAAAAAAAAAAGATATAAATCAAGGATTATGCAATTGCATGTGGGTAAAATCGTACTAGAAAAATTATGTTAATCAATTTCATATGCTCTGGTTTTCTAATTGAACTTCAATTGAGTAAATGTGCCGTGTGGAATGTCTCATATGATAAGTTGACAATTTTAACTCGCATGTTAGTTATGTGTGCTTTGAACCAGTAACTCTAACACCATCATTGAGTGATTAATAAGTTTAGTTTCATCTCAAATTTAAATGATGCGCTTTTGGAAAATATTCCAAAACACAAACTTAGGCTCGAGCTTAGACATAACTCAAGCTTCGAAGTGTGACAGTACCTACAACTATTAAATAAAATGACATGAGCTCGTGCTTAGACATTACTCAAGTTTCGAAGTGTGGATAGTGCCTAGAAGTATTAAATAAAATGACATGAACTTGAGCTCGTTTAAGGCTTGTTTGATAAATGAGTNTTAAAAAAAAAAAAACCTACCATACGTGGAGTATACACACTCTCAAGCGGGAGACTACACGCTCCTAAAGAGGAGAAAAAACCACAACAAACATACACTCACAAAGCAGTACAGAAACTAACTACAAAACTACTCAATAGCTTTAATAAATCCCTACTCAACAGTCGACAAGCCACTTTGCAAAAAGAAATCACGACACCGACCTCCGAGGGAAACCATCCACACGGACAGAGACTCGACCCAAGGCCCAGATCCATAAATTGCAGTATTACTACGTTTAACTGGGCCAGAGAGGACTTGGGGCAAAGTCTATGTTGTAGAGCCATGACACTTTCATTGTGGTGATTTTGAGTCAGGTGGACAATGTCTATTCAACCTCAGGTTTGATATAAGAAATTTTGCATAATTTTGAAAATTTGGCATAATTTGACTCATTAACAGTTGAGTTCCAGCTCATTTATTCGTTTACTTAATGAGTCATGAGAGCTTGATTTTAACTTATTTATAGCTTTATCAAAATATACTAGGAGGGTAAACCTTTAAAAACTGCAACTCGCTTATAACTCTATCAATACTATTAGGAACATTACCTCAAAAAATTAGAGAAACGACTAGTTGAATTTGCTAGTCAAATCAACTACCATTAGAAAAATGACCTCAAAAAATTAGACAAATACTAGTAGTTAATTGAATTTGTTAGTTAAACCAACTAATATAATGAGTAATATAATGCACTATTATTATTTGCTATTCGCTATATGCTAACACAAACAATTAAATTATGCCTTTATAATAATTTTTCAACATTACTTATTAAATCTTCACGCATGCCAATGCAAAATCCGACAATTATTAGCGCCATCCCGAATTACTATAATAACGTTTTGCAGATCCCTATAAAGCCACTGTACAGTTCCTCGGTCCTACAAAATAGTTTTTCTTTTCAAATTTCGCAACATAATAAATCTCTCTGATTCGCGCTTGCACGGCCAACGGCGATGGAGACGGTGTCGTCCCTGCCGGCGAATCTATCTTCCTTGGATTCAATCGGCGAGATATCGGAGGAGACAGAGAGCGACACTCTGGTTAGGATGTCCAGCTTTCCCCTGAACCAGCAGCGGAGGCGGAGGGTCGGCGGCAAGGCTGCGCGGCCGCGCCGCCAGCAGTCGTTCCGCCGGGAGATCGGCCATGCTGCGGCCGAGACTTATTTGCTTACTCGGCTCAGCTTCAAGCTGCTGAGCTACCTGGGGTAGAATTTCTCTCTCTCTCCCCCTTTTTTTTTTTTTTNCAAAGTTGGTTGATTTTTATGGTAAAACAGCAATCTTTCTAGCTTTTTTATTAGATAAGTTGGCAAAAGTAAAGAATGAAGTTGTGGGCTTTGTGCTGTTGAATTTGAGCAATTATATTTTGGGTGATTATTGAGGCAGCTTGCTATCGGTTGCGATTTATGTTGAGAAATTGTGTGGGAATGTGTAATTGATGAAGTGAAGAACGATAGGTATGACCATGACATGAAATAGATTATGTGATGCCGATTTTGTAGATAATGAAGAAGCATGTCATGTTATGACTTGGTCTTAGAAACTTGAATACTAACTCTGTTCAATTTATCCAGTTTTCAAATTGTGTAGAAAATTCATCAATGAATTGTTGAATGATTGTACATATGTGGAATTCGCAAATCATGAATTTGTATCAGTGTATATGAATAGTGTGTTTGATACTATGCTCATTTTGTTTTGCCTCACGTAAAATCAACTCACATTATTTGGACAAATGGCGGCTGGTTTTAAGTTAAATGTTTTTCTAATCATTGGTTTTATTCAGGTTAGGTTACCGGTGGATGTCAAGACTGTTGGCCCTTGCCCTTTATGCCATGTTGCTTATGCCGGGATTTCTCCAAGGTAAGTTCCGTGTAAATTTTGGAACGGCAGAGATTTTGTGAGGAATTGTGAAGGTTTGTTAAATTTTCCATTCAGAAGATAGGGCGGAGGACTGAAAGCAGAGAAGGGGTTTTAGGTTCTGATCACTTGTTTAGCCCATAAAACTGTGATGCTTGGTATAGAAAATAATTTTTCTAAAGGAAACTTATGGTAAGATGGAATATATGTGTCAATTACCTTATGCTCGTATCTTTGAGTGATAAGAGTAGTACTTGGTAAATATTATAGAAAGGCGATATTAAGTGTGGATGGATAATAATATGACAGTTCATAGAAATAGCAAATCAGGAAATCATTTGTAAGTTCTTTTCTTCTTTAACATATTTGATTTCCCTCATAAGCATATTTGTTCATTGTCTTATTCGTTCTCCAAATGAGATCCCTGTGTTCATATTCATGTTTCAAGGCTAAGAGTAAGATGTATTTAATTTCTTCTTCTTGGCAGTTGCTTTTAGTTATTTCTTTTCAAGTCAAGTACGTCGAAGCATTGTGTATGGAGATCAACCAAGAAATAGGTATG